TTCTCGCTTGCTGTCGCTCTGTCTCTCTCTCTGGTCTGTCTGGCAAGCGCACGCGCCCTATAGTGAAAACCTCTCAAAAAAAAATAAAAATTAATTAATTAATTAATTAATTACAACAATTTATTATTAAAAATGAAAGCAGTTGGTGGAAATGTAAAATGATGCAGTCACTATTGAAAACAGTATGACAATTTCAAAAAATTAAAAATAGAATTGTTGTATTATCTAGCAATTCTGCTCCTATCCAAAATAATTAAAAACAAGATTTCAAAGAGATGTTTGCACACCCGTATTAGTTATAACACTATTTACAGTAGCCAAAAAGTGAGAGCAACCAAGTTTGTCTAATTGGATAAACAAAATGTCGCATAGCCAAACAATAGAATATTCATTCTTAAGCAAGGAACTCTGACAGTTGCTACAACGTAGATGAGCCTCAATGACATGATATACTGAGTGGAATAAGCTTGTCACAAATATACTGGGCTCAGCCATGGTAGTATGCACTGGTAATACTGCTATTTGCCAGGCCAAAGTCTCACGGAAGGGCCAGGTTTGATTTATAGCCCACTGAAAGCCATACATGTTGGCATGTACCTATTGGCCCAACTACCTGGGATGCTGAGGCAAGATATCACGAGTTTGTGGCCAACATAAGCAATATCATTGAGAGCCTTTCTGAAATAACTGAGGAGTGGTACATGCTTGAGGTCCCATTTACTTGGGAGGCTGAGACAAGAGAATTGCAATATAGCAAAACCCTACATGCTGAATTCCAATTTATTTGGGAGGCTGAGACAAGAGGATCGAAACATAGTAAGACCTTATGTAAAACAAAAATAAAAAATAAAATACACAATGTGCTATTCCACTTATATGAGGTACCTGGAGTAATCAAATTAATAGAGACAGAAAGTAGAATGTTGGTTGCCAGGGGCTGGGGAAAAGGGGAGATAAAGGATTGTTTAATGGATGTAGAGTTTCAGTTTTACAGGATCAAAAACTTCCAGATATTGGTTG